GTATCCAGAGTTTAATGGTGTGCTTTGATTGGTTTGGATGTGTCAAGATTAAGGGAATCTGGGTTTTTGAGTGTTTAGGCTAACAAGAGAGGTCAAAATGAAATCTTCATTTGATGAGAGGATAAATAAAGGAATTTTGAGCTGAAATTTTATGGATAAGTTTTTTGGGAGGTCCTATGTCTGATGGTGGTATCAGATCTAGTGGTCGAGGTCTTGATAGGGATTAAACAGGGCCACCGAATCAGTATCGGGAGATTTAACAGTGGATTTGGGGGCTTTTGGCTGAAAGTTGGGATTTTTTGGTTTTTGGGTGTTTTAGGAGGATTGAAAGAGTCTAATCAGGGCTTTCGGGGTGAAATTTGGGTGTTTTGGAGAGGTCAGAAGGGTATGATCGAGTGTTTGGGGTGAATTAGAGGTTCAGGCAATGGACCGAGCAAAAATCGAGTGCTGACAGGGGCTAAGTGACAATTTCTCTCTTTGTGATTGGGTTACTAACCCAGATGATGTATATCTGGACATCGGTTACCAGATTGATTATAGTTTATAGTCTAATTTGGGAACAATGTAACATATGGGTGTGGTAACTTTCCTTGGTTTTCAAAAACCAAGACAGATTCTCAAATCTAAATCATAAGATGTAGGGGCTAAGTTGACCATTCTCTTTTTATACTTTTTTTACAATGCGAAAGATTATATTAGCACACCGATGGCATAATGATGAAATTTTAGACTAATTTTGCCACATATGGGTTTGGCAGCTTTTCTTGATTTTCAAAAACCATGACAAGTTCTAAACCCTAAATCTCAAGATGTAGGGCCAAGTGACAATTTCTCTCTTTGGACGGGTTACTAACCTAGGTGATGTACACTTAGACATCGGTGGCTAGATTGATGAGAGATTAGTCTAATTTGGCCATATATGGGTTTGGTAACTTTTACTAGTTTTCAAAAACCAAGAAAGGTTCTTTACCCTAAATCACAAGATGTAGGGACAAGTGACCATTCTCTATTTATACTTTTGTTACTAACCCGAAAGATGCATATTTGGACACTGGTGGCTAAATTAATTGCATTTTATAGACTAATTTGACCACATAAGGGCTCGGTAGTTTTTCTTGGTTTTTCAGAAACTAAGAAAGGTTCTTTAGCCTAAATCACAGGATGTAGGGGCAAGTGACAATTTCTCTCTTTGTTCTTTGGGTTACTAACCCGGGTGATGTGTTAATGACTAGATTGATTACAGTTTATAGTCTAATTTGGCAACAATGCAACATATGGGTTTAGTAACTTTCCTTGGTTTTCAAAAGTCAAGAAATGTTCTCAAATCTAAACCATAAGATGTAGGGGTCAAGTGACCATTCTCTATTTATACTTTTGTTACAATGTGAAAGATGTATATTAGGACATCGATGGCCATATTGATTAAATTTTAGACTAATATGGCCACATATGGGTTCGGTAACTTTTATTGATTTTTAAAAACCAACAAATGTTCTAATTTATACTTTGGTTACTAACCCAGGTGATGTACACTTGGACACCAGTGGCTAGATTGATAAAAGACTAGTCTAATTTGACTAGAAACCAAGAAAAGGTTCCCAATTGAGCTTCTAAGAACTCCTACTCCTGAAAGTCAAGGGTTGGCCAGGTTACAACCATGAATGTTCAGTTTGTCTTGCATATCTTGTGGTGGGAACCAATATATAGGATGTATTACTAGTAAATGAAGAGGATTCTACATGTTGCCAGTTCCTTTCGAAACCATCAACTTGAAGTGTTTGAATTCTTAAAATGGTTTGGTCCAGTGCATAACCTTTATCTTGATATGACTTGTTTAATTTCAGCTGCAAGACAACCCAAAAATAATAAAATACTTTAGTAGCCCACTAACAACATAAAGATTCTTAGAAGAAAAAACAAAAATCTGAATTTGGATTTATGGAACTTACAGCCACAAGAATGATTGGTTGCAAACTAGAGAAGGATTTAGATGTTCAAGTCATAAAATTGCCCAAATTAGCTGATTTCTATTGGCACCTTGCTTAGTTAGCCATTTACTGATCTCAGGACCCATCTTATCTTTAGATTTCAATCTTTGCAAATGATTCCTATGATAAATTGAACTTGTGAAATGCTGGATGTTCCCTATAAGGGCCTCATGTATTAGCTCCACTATTACTCTATATTTTCTCTATCTTTCTACTATAGAGAACTCTGGAACTATAGAAATTGGGTCCTAAGCTTATCCGGGGGACATAGCATATTCCATGGTGTAATTTTTTTCCTTTAGTTTTTAATTTCTGAATTATTAGCTTTCCTGAGTCGTTTGGTATCACCTAACCAAATTAAATTAATAGAAGAAGCGTTTGGCATCAACAAGCATTTCATCGAATTGTATATGGCATTGAAAGAAAATTCAAGTTGAACATTGTTGAACCAAAGTAAAATGCAAAATAGCCATCTAATGAAAATGTATAAAAGAAGCGAAATAAAATGCAAAATAGCCATCTAATGATTAGCCCTAGTGAGAAAAATAGAGATATCTTACCAAGGATTATAAGCTCTGAAGAATGCCAATAAAACACTGTAAATTAAAAATGCCACAAATCAAGCAAAAGACAGAGGTGAGTGGAATGAGAGAGACTAAGGTGAAGAGAGACTCCTTCACTCAAACGAGCAAACAAAGAACCGAAAGATGTAGACATAAAGATAGACTCCTTCACTCGAACAAGTAGAGAACGAGAGATGTAGGGAGACTTGAGCAATTAGAGAAAAAGAGAGGAGAGTCGAGAGAGAAGAAAATGATCGTAGGCAAGAGAGAAGGGAGCCGAAATGGGCAGATTTTGTTGCATATAATAGAGGGGCAATTTTGTCCTTAAAAAAGAGATACGAATTCTATCTTATATGATGCTCCTCTTTCTTATAAAGCTCCCCTTCTTTGATATATTTTCATAAAGGATGCCCAACCTTGGTTATTATATAAAGTATGTTATTTTTTTTTTATTAAGGCCGAAGAGCTACCCTTATCGTCTAGAAACCCTTAATTTAAAAGATTTAAATTTAAAAACGTAACCATATTATTAAAAATTAATTTTATAATATAAAATATTTTAAACTAAAAAATATGAGAACTTTATCACTTTCCCATTTTAAAAAATTTAAATTTAAAATATAAAATATTAATATATATTAATGATTAGATTGAGTTGATTTTGATCAATTTACACAATTAAACCAAAACTGATCTGACTTCTCATATTATTATAATGGCTATACCAAAACGGTTGAAAATATTAAAAAACCGACCAACTTGGGTCGAGTTGGATCGGGTTAATCAATTTTATTGGTTTGATGAACAACACTAATTGTGTAAATGGCTGATGGTATAATCGCACGTGAAGTCTTGAATGGGCGGAAGGTAGTGTTTTTGTTTTTTAAGGGAAAATTTCCTAAGCTACCCTTATGGTTTAGCTAATTGACTAAGTATACCCCTACTATTTAACTATTGTCTAACGCTACCCCTACTATTTCRAAAAATTACCATTGTTGTTAAATATTGACAAAAGGGCTGAAATCTCAAATTTACCCTTCCGTTAAATCTCTCCTATGTCTCTCTCTCTCTCTCTCTCTCTCTCTCTCTCTCTCTCTTTGCCAACACACTTTGTTCTCTAACCCGTTCAAATCCTGCCCAAGAGGATTGAAGGTTGTAGAAACAGAAATGGAGAGGTCTAAGGAAGGGAGGCTCTTGAAGAATAGCCAACACTACCCGAATATGCTTGGAGGGAGATGGTGGTGGAAAAGGCTTCTTAAAGAACCACCTTGGCATAGAATTAGAGCTCAGTACCAGAGATTTCTTAGAGAGCAAATAATGAGCAAGACCTAAGCCATAAAAAGGGAAAATAGGAGATTTTTTTCCTACTTTTGCCTCTGCTTTTTGCTACTGTCTTTGTTGTTGGTGGCGATGCTTACTGCTTTCTACTTTCTGCAATTTAGAGCTCTACTTGCTACTTCTCCCTCTACTTTATCATTTCCCCCATTAACAGAATTCTCAAAAGGCTTAGGGTTTTCCTACAATCGCTCTTCTCTGTTGGCGTAAAGATCAAGTCTTGGGGAGGGTTTCAAAGTGTAGAGCCCCATTTCCCCTACTTAAACCCTAATCTAACACATCTCTCCCCAAATCAAACTAGTTCAATCAAGGACCTCTCTCTCTACTACTTTTGACTTTTTTCTCTTAAAGAGAGAGAGGGAGAGAAGGGAAGAGGGAGATCGTGAGAAAAGAGTAAAATGAATGATGAGGAAGAGATCCAGGGTTAAGATCATGGAGAAGAGAAGTGATCTCATCTAGGGTTTATAGAGATGAAGAAAAGGAAAGAGGGTTGAGACAATATCTCAACCGGAGAGGATTTTTCCAGCTCGGACATGGTCTTCATGATTTCTTCTTTGTTGTCGTCGATCTCTCCGATGGATCCATCTGCTATGGTTGCTATAAGAGCTGTTGTTGTTCTTCTATCCTACACAAATAGACAAAGAGAAGAGAGGTCGAAGGAGGGTGTCTTGTTTTAGAAAGAGAAGAAGGAGAAAAGGAAGAAACTAGAGAGAAAGAGAGAGAGAGAGGTTGGAGGAGGAAGGGGGTGCCAAACATGCTGGTCGAGAGGAATGGGATGAGGGTAATATTGGGTTGTAAAAAAATTTAAATGTTACATAGTGTCACGTGTATATGGGTTTTGATGGAATATTGACGAATATTAACAGTAAGGGTAGAGCTAATCAATTGTTAGAAACAATAGTCAAATAATAAGAATAAATTTAATCAATTAGCTAAACCATAAGATTAGTTTAAGAAATTTGCCCCATTTTTTAAATGGATGCGGAAGATAGTGTTTGGGAAGTAAGTAATTTTGATTCCGTTTCTACAGTCTACGGTTTTTCCATTTGAATGTTTGAAACCGTGAAACGTCCAGGTATTATTAATGTAACCATGCCCTTACGATACGTTGGTCTTGCTTTATATTTACCATTTTACCATAAGAGTCTTCCTTCTCTCTCTCTCTCTCTCTCATGGCTGGTCCATACAACTCTCTGAGAGCTTCTGCTTCTTCGTCTAACCAGAACTTTACTTCGAGGATTCTCTTTCTCCTTACAGTTCTACCGCTAACACTTGCAGCCTTCGCTTTCATTCTTCAATGGAGAGGTGGTCTCAACGATCCAACAACGCGTTGGTCCCCAGATAACCACCAATTCCCTGGTATGGGGAGTTCTCCTCCTACAAATCTTGCCCACTCTTTGTCTTCGACGTCGTCGTCCGATTGCGCCGAACTTCTGGGTCGCAGCGCCTCCCCATCATTTCCTTATTATCGTGATTGGAAGTTTAATTTCGGAGCTGATCTGAAACCGAAGGTGAGATTATGACTGGGTTTTGATTTGATTTCGTTGATACATTTTTTTGGATGTTGTTATGTTTCTTTGAGGTTTTGTTTTTTTTTTCTTTTTTTTTTTTGTAGAATTGATATTTGTTGGGGTAAGACTGGAATTGAGGATCTGGGTCCTTTTGGGAATTGAGTTTATCGATCATGGCAATTTTGAACAATGGCGGTGGAAACTCGAAATTAAGTAATTCGTTGTTTTCTTGAGGTATTTTTACTGGGTCAATCTGTTTTGGGGTGGAGGCGGATTCCTGTAGGTGGATTTGGAGATCTGAGCTTTGCATGGACGTTCTTGGTGATGTGCAGTAACGGTGGAAAGTAACCTGGAGAAATTTGTTTAAACTCGGAATCTTTTTATGTTGTAGGCCATTTTGTCTTCATTGGAGCGTATTAAAGATTCTCTGTTCTGTTCTGTTTATCATGTGATCACTTGATCATAGGAATTCATGTTTCTAATGGTAAAATTATGGTTGGATCAATGTCAGGTTTCGAGGCATATAATGTTGTCTTGGGTTTGGTTCCTTACTGTTATTTTCCCTTTTAAATCACATGTTGGTCATGCAGTGCATAGTCCATTCAGATTCATTGGTCAGATGTGCTGATTTCAGAATAATACATATACATCGTTTTGGTGGTTTATTTTAGTTTTCTATTCAAACATTGATCACAGAATGGATATCCGCTTTTAATGCTTGGAAATGCTGATTCATAGTATACGTCCTCATGGTTATGTATATAATACATAATATTAAAATTAATGGTGTTCTTCCTTTTTTTTCCATATCTTTTTTGTTCATCTGTTTGTGTTAAGTAAAATTCTTTTCCAGTTTTGTCCCCCCCCCCCCTTTCTCATTTTTTAAGCAACATGAATTGGATCTGTAATGTACTTTACTATTTTTGATATGTGCGTGTGTTTAAATATTTGGGTCTTCTTATGATGAACTTCTTTGTGTTATTGCTGCAAGTATGCAGATATGTATTACAACGAGCACTTCAGCTGGCCTAGGGCAGATTCTACCATGGATCTTTTATCATAAGGTTATTGGGGTTACAACATTCTTCTTGTTCGTGGAAGGAAAGGCTGCATCTCCTAATGTATCTTCAGTGCTGGAATCCATTCCTGTGAGTAGTATGCCTCTAGCCCCTCCTCCCCCTCTCTTAAAAAAAAAGCAGAGAGAAGGGGGTCGAGGAATTGTTTTCTGGTCAAGATTTAACATTTTTGCTTATATGTTCTATGTTTCTCACATAGGGAGTAAAAGTAGTATTCAGAACAAGAGAGCTAGAAGAACAACAGGCTAAAAGGTTGGTTTATTCTGCACTTGATGCTTGGATCTTACCTTTGTATATATGGAAGTTAAACACTAATGGTCTGTTTGGTTTGCAGGAATAGGGGTCTGGAATCGGAATCAAAATGGCCTATTCCAATTCCAACTTTTTGGTTGGGTGGAATCGGAATCCGATTCCATTCCTGGTGGAATGGCATAGCCCCATATTCCAAGGGTTTTGATTCCGATTCCAATTCTGGCTGCGAACCAAATGGACCCTAAGTATTTTTTTAGTTCTTTACATGGAATTAATTTTTTTTCCCCTTAAGCAGCAGGATGACTTCAATTGGAAGAGAAAATAATAACTTTTTTGTTTGGTAATAGATTATAGGAGAAATCACTAGATTGTGGGTCATGAAGGTGGACATAGATATGCATATATCATTCCTCTTCATAGAGACATTCTGTAGAAAGATTATTGATCCAAATGGTATCGGCAAGTGGCTTAACGATATGCCCCTGCAGGGGTCGTATCGGGGTCTGACCTGGTTCAGGGGGTAGACCAGCCTTAAACCGACCCCCTGAACCAGTTTCAAAGAAAAAAACAGGAGAGTGAGCTTTGATACAGGCTGACATGCCCCTACCGGCATATCAGCCTGTATCAATATTTTAAACCTTGGGTATTGGTAAAAGTAGAACAAGTAATGCTGATAAAAAAAAGAAGTGGAACAAGTAATAGAATAAGAAAAAAATACTGATATAGAATTTAGATAAAGCTACTAGTAAAGAAAGCAACTGCTGGATCTACTTGTTGGAGGCTAAGGAGGGATGAGACATACTTATGCATTAAATGTGGAATTATTTCCATCCCTGACCATTCTTAGACCAATTTGTGAGATTTTTATCCAATAATCCACACAGCATTTCATTTTTGTATCTCCTATAAGACGTGGAAAAGGTACCATTTTGGTTGTGTTTGTTCAATAATAGAGTTGGTTTAATCATTAATAGTGTTTCATGCAAAAATATACATAGAACGGTTTCCATTTCTGGCCATTCTTAGCCCCACTGATGAGATTTTTATGTATCCATTCCCCCTATTTTGAATCTTTTCATCTCTCAAACACATAGAGGTTGCTTAGCCTGGTTTGATCAGTAATAATTTGTGGTGGTGGTGGTTTTACAAAGTACCAATAACAGAGCTGGTTTGATCAGTAACAAAGAAGTGGGAAAATGACAGAATTATGCATTTGATGCAGAATGATTAAGATTTCCATTCCTATCTACTCTTAGCTTGATTTATGATATTTTATCTTTTCTCCCTTTGCATTTGTTTATCACCCAGAAAACATAGAGGTTACTGCTGTGGTGATGGGTTAACCAATACTGGAGTTGGTGATCAATGATAGTATCCTATCTTCATTTTTTTTTTTTCAGAAAGGTAATATATTAAAATAATATAGAATAACAGTACAACCCACCTGGCAATAGAATTAATACAATTGCGCAATGTACCCATAAAGCAACTGTACCCGACATCAGCCTGTTCCAAGCAACAAAGGGACTCAAATACAAGTATACAACTCAGAACAGAATATCAACCAATAGGAGAGGATGAAAGGATATATCTTTAAATTCTTTAATTATGGATGAAAGGACATATCTTGTATTTTGTATGTATTTGTACTATACATATTTGTATTGTTACCCTTTCCAAACTCAGCCTTAATCACGGTAGAGAACACAGATATCACATGTAACAAAATAAACAAGTGGGGGGACAGTTTTTTTTTTTTTTTTTGATTGGTGTGGGAGATCATGATATGCATTAGATTTGGAGTAATTTTCATTCCTGTCTATTCTTAGATCTATTATGAGCTTCAATCTATCCATCCTTCCTATTTTGGGTTTATGCATTTCCCAAGAAGAACATGGAGAGGCTACTGCTGTGGTGGTTTAACCAATAATTGAGGTTCAAACGAGGATTTTCATTGCTCAAATCCACTTTTTCTTATAATTTCTTTTCCTTCTGCAGTTCTTTTCTTGGTTGTATTACATTATATTTGTTGTGATAGACACATTTCAATTTCAACAAATAGCTGTACCATCTATTTGATAAAAGAAATCTGTCCACACATGTTCTTTAATCATTGTAGAGAATGCAGATTTCACATGTAAGGAAATAAACAAGTGAGGGGACAGTTTTTTTTTTAATTTGTGTGGGAGGACATAATTATGCATTAGATTTGGAGTGGTTTTCATTTCTGGCTTTTCTTATATCTATTGATGGGCTTCAATCTATCCATCCTCCCTATTTTGGGTTTATGCATCTCCCAAGAAGAGCATAGAGAGACTACTGCTGTGGTGGTGGTTTAACCAATAGTTAGAGTTCATATGAGGATTTTCATTGCTCAAATCCTCTTTTGCTTATAGTTTCTTTTCCTTCTGCAGTTGTTTTCTTGGTTGTATTACATTATATTTGTTGTGATAGACACATTCTTCAACACGTAGCTGTACCATCTATTTGATAAAAACAGTTTTCTGCACTTTTTAGCTATTTGATACCACAAACTCTTCCCTATGTACTGAGGGCACTTGAGTTTTGCCTCTTACATTTTCTTTTTTGGTTCTTTAGTCGGATCTGGAACGAGACTTGGCTGTCAAGCTTCTTTTACAAACCCTGCAATTATGAACTCTTTGTGAAGCAGTCGCTCAATATGGAGATGGCTATTGTCATGGCAAGGGTATGACTTAGCTTAATTCATCTCTCTGGTTTATTACTTTTAATGAGCACTTACCTTGTTATGATGATGATAAATGGATTAAGTCTTCTTATTTACTCAATCTTAGGAATATGGAATGGATTGGATTATCCATCTTGACACCGACGAGTTAATACATCCGGCAGGTGCTCGTGAGTACTCATTGAGACAATTGCTCTTGGATGTGCCTGGGAATGTAGATATGGTTATCTTTCCAAACTATGTAAGTCAAACCATTCTTATTTGCACACTATCATTTTATCTGCTAAATGATAAAATTAATTCAGTATTATTAACTGGTAAAGGAAGGTTGATTGTTTCAGTTGTCTCTTCACTGCCTTAATCATTTATGTCTTTAATTTAAATCCATAAATATGGTTCTAATTTTAAATATGATATACATTATTACTGTTGCAGGAGAGTAGTGTTGAACGTGACGATATAAAGGATCCTTTCAGTGAGGTAGAAGTTCCTGATTGCTGTCCCTTTTCCATGCTCTTTTAGTTGAATCATTTCACATAATATATATTGTTTATTTATTTCTGCCGTATACATGGACAACCAACATATAGTTAAATACATGCACTATGGTGACTAATATATGAACAACTAGAACCTTTAGGCAGCATTTGCAACCAACTTGTTATCATAGATATGAGGCTGTTTTGGTTTTATAATCACTTGAATGGGGCAGACAAGTTTCTTTGCTACAGATGGTGTTGCTCAAATATGAAATAGAAAATGTGGATTCTGCTGTATTTGGATATTTCATTTAGGGTTTGTCCAAAGTTTCATCATTATGTTTGTTTCCATGCATCATTTAAGCATTTTGGAGTGTGTACTTTTCTACTTTAAAGATATCAATTTTCCTTGAGATTGTCATGATTGTGGAGTCCTCATCATTATGTATATGTTGCTTTTGTATGGAGTGGATTATGACAGGATGGAAGTACACTTTGATTATGTCTATTGAGCTATTTAGTAATTTTAATATTCTGCACATTTAGGCAACAAGGTGGAGAGTTAAAGGTGAGTTTGGTAGAGCCATAACGCCATACATGAGAAATAGGTATTTATCTATTTATTTGTTGTAATCTACAATGTGGATACAAGTGGTATCATTACTTAATTCCTCTGCCATATTTAATGATATTTTTAATTTTCTTATTATGGTAAGCTGAAAAATTAAAACATACAAAGACTGGATGACCAATTAAGAAAAAAGTATACTATTTATGTGATACCTATATTACTATATTAAGGGAAGGGACCTTCCTACTTTTTAGGTGGGTGAGGACATACATTTGCCAGTTTTTTTTTCCTCATTACCCTTCTTCAGAAAAGTCCAAAACATCAAAATGAGGGCATATTATTGGGAAACAAGCACCCACTTCTCTCTTTTCAATTTAGCTCCTTACACCATATCTCTCACTCTCACCCCCACTCTCTGTCTCACATGCAGTGCAGTATTGCATGCGCCTCCCTGTCTTAGAAATGTCCATTCAATAAAATAAATTGTAGAAGTGTACATGCCACATATGGTGTAGATACCAGTATCATATTGTTTCAGCACACATATGCATAGGTATTTGGGCATCAGCTAAGAAACTTGATTTCTTTTGGTTGGTAAAATTTACTTTATGGATTAATAAGAAAGAATATGGGTATTGTACAATGGTAGTTGCCAAGTAGCACTACCTTACTCATTTGATCCCTTTACTTTGTATGATACTAGAGAGTTCTATTTTAATTACCCCCAATACAATCATTCCCTATTTACCCCTTGTTTGGCCAATACATCAGCCAAACTATTGGCTGATCTTTGTCTTTTTTTTTTTTTTTTAAATTGTGCTCTAGCTCACTTGTCAGCTGCCTCACTTCCCTTAAGATATATCTACATTTCCAAGGGCTTTGCCAGTTATTTCTTTCCAACCCACAACAACATGGGAGTCACTTTCCACCATAATATCCTTATGCTTAATGGTTTTCCTTCGTTTCAAACCCTTGCATATCATCTTCACTTAACCCCAAATGCTATGTATGGTACCTTATCATGTGCTCAAGAAAATTTCAAAAGAAGCATCTCCCTCAAATGACTTTCAGGTTGTAGGAGGGGGTGTTGATAAAGTCTTTTTGATATACTGTTGATAAAAAAATTTTCGATCAGTAAAAATCTTTCATTAATAACAGAGAGATTAAGGTACAATAGTTAAAGATTGCATAGGAAATTGCAATCTCCAGCAATTAGTTACAATGCTGCCCAATACAATGAAGATCTATTTGCCCCTTGTTTTGCTAGGGTATCCGCCATCCCATTTGCATCCCTTTTAACCAAATCAAACTGAGAGTTGAACTTCCTTGCAAGTGTGCCAATTTCTCTGAAAATAAACCTGAGGTTCCAAGGTGCTGATGTGATGTTTTTGGCCCAAGAGATGACCAATAGAGAGTCTCCTTCAATTTCTAAGTTTGTTGTTCCTATCTGCTCAGCCATCTTTAGA